CATTTGACGAAGTGGTTAACTAGTGACTTGGTGATAAAGTCTGTGAAAGGGATGGGTTAAAGTCAATATAATTTCTGGTAATGGGACACCCAATTCCCCTCTAATGCAACGTTAGAGGTTGAATTCAATGTGGAAAGCTTATTATCAGAAATTGAAGCACACAATTTGTCATCCCGAGGTATGTGCTTGTTATCTGCATGAGAGAAGAGGATGAAGTTCAAAACTTCTTAATTGAATCTTTGACAAAGTGTATTATGCAGGTACAAGAATAAAAGATTCGACCTACGTAAGCATGAAGTAGAGCTGCTTCAAGAAACCCGGACTTTGGTTTCGTGTGCGCTTATGAGAAGGATTGGACACATGGCGGATAATAGTGTCAAGGCACTTAGAAGTTTTGAAAACTTAAGTGTATATTATCTTCGAATATTCATATGAGTCAATGGGTTCAATCGTTACCGACACCCTTTTGTATTCGAGTATTCGTCAAGTGTAATATACTAAGGTGAAAATTCAATCGTCACGACATTTTCATTTATGCTTAAGTTTTGTTGGAAGAATGTTGTGATTTTAGTGAATTCTATAATACACTAAAATGGGGCAGGAATGTTGGAAATTTGGTTGAACCGGACTAACCAAGTCAAACGGGTTTTGGGTTGGACCGACCAACCAGTTTGGGATTAGACCGACCGAACCGATATTCTAATTCCGTGAAGGGACACATCCCTTGGCCTAGTGGCGGTTGCATTATTTTATGGATAAGGATAACCTTTCATATGGATAGAGGCAACTTTTCATATGGATAAAGGCAACCTTTCGTATGGATAAAGGCAACCTTTCATGAAACAATGCATGGATTCGACCCCTATAAATATATGGGTGGGGTGGATGGTGCCACATACCATAAAACATATTCTTCTTCTTTCTTCCAAAAATTTCTAAGTATGCTTTAGTGTTCTTGAGCCTGGAACCTAAAGTGGTGATAGTTTTATCCTCGGGAGAAATTTCCTGTAACCCTAGGCTTGTTGAGGGTGGAAATATTCTTTTCGGAAAGTGAACGTTGTTCACGACTCTATCACAATCCTGGTCACCCAGTCTTGGACTATCGTACGTATACGCTCGTCCTAAAAAGTCCCAACACCAGCTCCTCTGTTCTTCACCTTCAGTTCCTTTTTGCAAACTGTAATACCCAAATCGCTGCGTGTTCAAACTTAAATGTTGTATACACGAGCAGGATACCACCAGGATATGGATAATGCCAAAGTCCACCATCGTTATAAACAAACACATTATTATAAATCACTTTCTTAATACAATTACTCAAAAGAATTCTTCTGCATCAATTTCTCAACGCTTGACTTCACTTTATATGTACTTCCAACAAATACATTTATATGTGAATTAGGTATTACATCATAGTTGATATGTGAATAAACATATCTACGGAATGCTCACAATCTTATTTATTCCGTTATTATTATTATAAAAAAGAAAAATAATTACCTGTTATCTTATAATTAAAACAAAAAAGTTTGATGTCACTAAGTGCTTAATTAATCAATCTCAGTTGTATGTCATAAAAAAATCAATCTCAGTTGTAGAATAGTCTTCCTTGCTTCCCTAATGTGCGCGTCCTAACCTCCTATTATTACTATATATAAAGCTAAAACATAATTACTGTTACCTAAGAATTCTACTACCATGCCTTACTGTTATTTTACCTTATAACAGACCAATTCCTTATCAACAAGTGGCAATAATGAGAGAAACTTATGTCATGTAATTTTGATACTTTGGCTACAATAAATTAGAAAAGTTATTATATTATTTATACATTTATAAATTATATCAAATCTCATCTCATATATAAATAATAATTATATAATAAAATGACAGATCATACTTGAATTCAACATATAGTGAAAATTCGAACACACTCGTATATATAAATATTCATATGTTCAATTTGGAATTTCAAAGATAGGGTTAGCGAAAGGTAAAATCTGGAAAAGATACGCATTTCACAAACCAAAAAGAAAAACAACGTCGTGTGACCTCCAACCCGGGAACCTTGCTGCGGGCCGACCCACAGGCATTTGACGCCTATTTTTCTCACAAATCCAAGTCGACTCGTAGGTTGATAGCCTTAAAGGCAATAATAGACTTTTTCGGTTGCCTTAATTAAGAGAGGGAGAGCAAGTTTACTATTCACTAACTTGATATATAATGAGACAACAATTCAGGCATGATTTTTATAGTTGAATTGAGATTTTAATAATATTATTTGTTATACTTTCCACAAGAGCACTACTATACTTTAATTTTAAAGCAATGGTGACTTGAGGTACATATATAAAATATATAATAATCTCATTAAAATTGAGATTGCATTTTGGGAGTACAATTCGAGCTATGGGTTTTTGTTTTATCGTCAGTTATTTTTATACTTTATTTTATGAGTCTTTCTATTATATTTTAGTTTTAAAGAGTTGGTGCTTCGAGGTTTAAATTAAACTTAAATCATAATGTTTAACCTCTTTTCTTTCTCCTTATTTTGTATCTCGATCAATAAATTGGACATTTCTTCTTCGTGTTCCCGAAATTTTTATTAAAGTTACTAGCCACCCTCACATGCATACATCATCAATTAGCTCCATGAATTAGCGATAAACACTAGGGGATGACACATGAGTGATTAATCCACGATTTGATATCAATCCACACACAAATAACATGAACCGCAGTGGCTAAGTGATTGCAAATTGATAAATCTCTTACCCGCACTTATTTAGGTATTGAGATATTGAGATTAGTAAGAGCATGATGATGATGAGTTTAAATTTTTTGAACCTCATTATGTAAAGAAGAAGAAGGGTTATGCTGGAGAGTTTGGGTAGTGTACTCTTTTTCCTTATCTGTAATAGATTTGTCCATTATCTGTTAAAATTTTATTCAATTATTTCCTATTTGGCATAATAAGTACTCCATATAAACAACTCACAACCTTTGAGTTATTTGACATAAGATATTTAACTTGAAAGACATTTGGTTCAAGGATACATATTACTTGCAAATATCGGTTGAAACACAAACTTTCAAGTCAACTTGCCACTCGCTACATTTCAACCGCAACGAAGTGCGGCCTCCTTTCTAGTCTCATATATATACTCTAATATCATTTTCACCTAACCAATTAACTTTAATCACTCTGCCCCCTTTTTCAATCCAATCTGTGCAATGGGATTAGAAGTCAATCGAGATTCAAGGCTGCATTCCTGTGATTGTCATTCTCTTCCGTCTTATTTTAGTTGAAGTAGGAGACTTTCTACCACTTTGTAATGTATGGAGATGTGATTATGTATATATAGTTAAGATTATGATTTGAGATGACAATTCGAAAGAACCACACATTAGAAATGTATGTTGTTTATTCTTTGTGTCGTCGACGGCTTCTGGCGAAGTTGTAACACTTCTCGTTAGTTATTCCTTAGTTTTAAATCAATATTTTCCTCCGACCTGCGTTACCCTCTCTCTCTCTCGTTCGCTCTGAAAATCTCTCTCTCTCTCTCTCTTTCTTATGTGTAGTGGTATAGATTTAAAAACCTAGATCTAGTAATTTTTGTTTATTGATTCAATGTGCAGTGGTATAGATTGTTTATATTGGTAGTTTTCGTGTAATGGTATAGATTTATTTCTGCAATGGTATTGATTGTTTATATTGGTAGTTTTCGTGTAATGGTATAGATTTATTTCTACAATGGTATTGATTGTTTATGGTATAGATTGTTTATATTGGTAGTTTTCGTGTAATGGTATAGATTTATTTCTGCAATGGTAGTTTTCGTGTAATGGTATAGATTTATTTCTGCAATGGTATTGATGTTTTTCAAAGTGGTAGTGTTTGTCTAACGAATTGGTACTGATTCCGTTTTTTTTTTTTTTTTTCCAGAAAGATTGAGAAAAATATGGAAAGGAAATCTGGCTTGAGATTACGGAAGTGAGAGAAAGAGAGAATTTTAATTAATAGATTTTTGAAACTACCTAAAATGTAATTTATTAAAAAATTAATTAATATAATTTATTTTTCCATACCCAATTTACCCTTGTAACCATGGTGATTACTACTTTTATAGTAAGCACCGTAACCTGTCCCCCCTCCCAACACAACACCTCATTGAAATCACCAAACAAAATTAAGACAAACACACTTCAAAAGAGACAACAACAAGCAGCTGGATTTTACGCACCATACTATAGATCGCCTGATGGGATGGGTTAGCATGCTAACCCAGGGGTTGATTTTTTGACACCACCTTTTAATTGGTCAATTTTTCATTAATCATTGACAAGTATTAATGAAAGTAAACATAATAAATGTTCTATTATTAAATACAAAGTAAGCATTAAATACACCACATTAATTACTTGTTTTTAAAAAAAATCTAAACATATACAAAATACAATTCTCTCTCTCATCTTTGATATTTTCACTCCTATCTCTGATTCTTCCTTTCCGAGCAGCCTCCGACCACCAAGTTTCCTCCGACCACCACACTTCGCCGGTAAAATCCGTCGACAAACTCTCTCCGGTCACATGCAAAAATATACCACTGCACTGATATGTTGTACCACTTTACTGGTATTTGTACCACTGCACTGATATGTTGTACCACTTTACTGGTATTTGTACCACTGCACTGATAGTCAGATATGACATTGGTACCAGTGCACTGATATCGCTACCAGTGCAGTGGTATATCTACCAGTACAGTGGTACAACGTATCAGTGCAGTGGTATATTTTTTGGAGGTGGTCGGAGGGAGTCTGCCGATGGGATTTTCAACGGAGAAGTGTGGCGGTCGGAGGAAGTCTGATGGTCGGAGACTGCTGAAAAAGGAAAAATCAGATATAGTGAGAGAAAATGTATTTAGTGTACGTTTTAATTTGAAAAAAAAATAATTAATATGGTGCATTTAATTCCTAATGTGTATTTAATGTGTGTATTAAATTCTATAGTTGTATTTAATATACTAGGGGGTGTCATTTTTCCAACCCCAAGGGGGGTTAGCATGCTAACCCACCCCTCGCCGGATGGGATCGGTTAGCATACTAATCCTTCTAAAGGGTTGGAAAAATGACACCCCTATTAATTATAGTTATTTTTTATATTAAATTTGTGTTGCATTTAATAATTTTTGGAAATTAAAAACTCATCTTAATTACATTCCTTTTTTTAACTACCATTGCACTTATACAACTACCATTGCACCTGTATACTGAACTCATATTAATTACGTTCTTTTTTTGGAACTATCATTGCACCTGTACACTAATACAATTGCATGATACAACTACCAGTACACTGAAAAAGGAAAGTAATTAATATGTGTTTTTAATTCATACAGATTATTAAATGCAACGCAAATTAATTACTTTAAAAACCTATGATTAATAGGGGTGTTATTTTCCAACCCTTTAAGAGGTAGACATACTATCTCATTCCTCGCCGGATTTATTCGGTAAGATTTTTTTTTTATGTAAGGGAGGCATGAATGCCAAAATTACAAAAGCCCAGGGCCTAAGAAGTCAGGAACATAGCGCGGAAACACAGTAGCAAGAAGGTGGAGAAACAGAGCAAGGGAACAGATCACAGAAAAATTCAAAGAGCATCCCTCTGAATCACTTGCCGAGGGAAACTGACTCCGAGGATATCTTCACGGCAATTTCGATCAAGTTCTAATGGGGGATCATCCAATTCGTACGTGCCAAAGGAATAGACGAGACTGTGCTTCGAGAGCCAATCCGCGAATCTATTCCCTTCACGATACGTATGAATCACACGAACCACCCATTCTTTAGCTAGATAACGCCATGGATGTGCTTAAAATTAATTAAACGATCACAACTAATTATGATATGAGCATCCTAGTCAGAAGCTAGTAGACCCACCACACTAATAAAGTATAAACAAACAAACAATTAAGAGAATAACTACAAAATTCTCCCGTCCTTATCAACCCCCCGATTAAGCTATTGCCGTCTATTCCAATTTACCTGCCCAATTCAGCATGAATATGGAAGCCGTGGAGTGCAAGCAACCGCATCGTCGTCGCCGTCGCCGCCGTTAGTGGAGTGGGTTGGCTGCCGCTCTTTACTCCGTACTCCACAATATACATAAATATATATCCGGCCCCGACCATTAGCCGACTCTCCTTTTCAGCTTCCATCATATCACCACACAACTTGAACAAACAAACGCCGTGACTTCCCCCACAATCTCATGCACCTGTTTTCCTCTGCTTCAGCTGGAGCCTCTACAATTTTAATCCTTAGATTTGTGCGTTTGCATTAGCAAATATGTAGTAACAAATCTATTGTTCAAATATTTATCAACAATATGAGATATTGTGACTAATTATAAATCGATAAAATTAAATTAGAATGATTTAAATTTTGATAAATAAGCAGCGAAACCAAACTATTTTTACGGTTTGTTTTTTTTATTATCAAATTTGTCACCACTTTTACATGTCACTTCAACTATAATTTGAAAACGGTGGAGGATCACCACCTCCACGACCCTAACTAACGAGTGACAGACTTCGGAATCAAAATGCATTAAGTATCGTATCATTACCCATGTTAATCATGTGATTAAGTTCTCCTAACCTCTCTCAAAGGTAACCCCCTCTCTCTCTCATGAGGAGTTAAAAAAGAAATTACAGGGGGTAAAAACTAAAAAAGCAAAGCTTGAAACATCAGAAAGCGGTAAAAAATTATAAAAAAAAGCGCTATTCTAAAAATGTACAAAAAAAGCTGTATTCCTTCCTGTACCGCCAGTAGCAAAAACATAGCAGGATACCCACTACACGCGCACACACGTTGACGTGGCGCATCCTTCTCCTATATTCCCGGCCGACCAGCTACCTAGCTAGAAATAGTCAAAACTCGACGCGCTTCTCGTCTTCCCCGCGGCGGGGCGGTGCATCGCCGCCGGAGTCGTTCTCTGCCTCCGTAAGCTGGGCACAGCCGGCGGCGTCACCGTCCGTATCAGCGCGAAGTTCAAGCCCTTGAAGAACGGGTGGGTCTTCACGTCGGCGGCTCCCCGCTTCGACCCGAGCCTCCGGGTCGGGTCCTTGTCCAGCAACCCGGATATCAGCTCCCGCGCGTGAAGCTCCATCGTCGACGCCGGCGTCTGGGTCGGGAAGGTCAGCGGCCTCTTCACGATGTTCCGCAGCGTCTGGTCGTTGGACGGCGCGGCGAACGGAGTCCGCCCGTAGATGAGCTCGTAGATGAAAATACCCAGGGCCCACCAGTCCACTGCGTTGCCATGGGACCCGCCGGAGGCGACCTCCGGTGCCACGTACTCGTGGGTCCCGACGAAGGAACATGACCGGGCGGTGACCGGTTCGGCGACGAAGAGTCTTTTCGGGTTCGGGTTCAGCGTCTGGATTTTCTTCGACCGGAAGACCCAGGTCGGGAGGCACGAGAACTGCGGTGGCCGCCGCTGCGGCGACGGTGAAGCGGGATCTTCTCCTTCTGGGGAGAAAGAAGCGGAAGAAGGCGTCGGATGAGATTCAACGGCTGGGATTGCGTGCGAGCAGAGTGAAAGGTCGAAGTCGGAGAGCATGATGTGACCGTCCGATCTGACCAACACGTTCTCCGGTTTCAGATCTCTGTAGATGATTCCCAGCATGTGGAGATACTCCAGCGCCACCAGTACCTCCGCCGCGTAAAACCTGGAAGCGACATTGACATGATTTTTTGTTCAGTTCTTTCTTTTCAAATCCCTTGTAAACTTCAACACCACCATTAATGGGTAAAAAAATCTCACAGAAATTTGCGGCTAGGTCAGAAATTAAATCCAAAGAAGGGAACTAGTTCTGTAACTTTCCATTCTGAGAAATCCATTATACCAGAGGTTGAAGACGACCTCACAGCAACAACAACAACAACAACAACAACAAAAAAAAAAAAGCAAGAGAGCTTCCTAGCAGAAGAAAACAAAAACTAAAACCAAGAAAACAGCCATGCAGTGCAGAAGGATCATTGAGAGAAAAACGTCAATTGAGAACTTCGAAATCCTATTGCAGGTTTTTTTTCTCCCCCCTCCTCGAGTTGTCATAAAGGAAGCAAACAAAAATTGCAGGAAATGGGGAAAAAATTCAAATAAAAAAAAGGAAGAGTGGTGTAGGATAATGCTGAGAGAACTGACCTAGCGGAGGCGAGAGAGAACCGCTTATGAAGCTGCTTATGGCGGAGAGAATGCAAGTCGCCGCCGGAGCAGTACTCCATCACAATGCAAGAGAAATGAGAGGCTTCGAACTCGGCGTACAGCGTAGGCAGGAACGGATGATCGAGCATCTTCAGGATCTTCTTCTCCATCTCGGCCCTCTGCTCCTTTTTCTTCACCGCGAGGGCCTCCTTGTCCACCACCTTCATCGCGTAGAAGCACTCCGAGCCGTCGTCGGCCTCCTCCCCGTGGTTGAGCCGGCAGAGGTACACGGTGCCGATGTCGCCGGCGCCGATGCGGCGGAGGAGGCGGAAGTCGCGGAAGGTGAGCCCGCTCTTGCTCCGGATGGCTGAGTAGGCGAAATCGGAGGAGCGGTGGGGCTTGAGCGTGAGGTTGTTCTCCGGCGATGATCTCGCCGCCGCGGCAGCGGCGGAGACGTCAAACGAGAGTCGGCTGTAGGAGCTGCAGCTCTCGCAGGAGCTGCTCATCGAACTGTCGGAAGAATTCGTGGTTTTCAAACTCAAATCGCCGTCGGAGTAGTCGCCGTACTGCTGGCCGCTCTCTAACATTCTCTTCCAAACCCCTCAATCAAGAGACCGGTCCAAAAATCAGACCTACAAATTCAAAAAGGACTAGGAGAAGAGAAGAGAAGAGAAGGAAAATCAAAATCGAATCCGATCGTTTCTCTCTCTCCAGCTATCTGCGTCTACTGCAAGTTTCTAGAGGAAGAAGACGACGATCTTTGTAATCGATGGCCGAGTTGAATAAGTAGTACAGAGTCGGGAAATTGGGGGGACATTTAATTCGTCTCCAGCTAGCTAGGTAGCAAATCAGAGGGAGGGAAAAGGAAGCTTTGAATGAGGGAGCAGAGAGTTTGTCTGAGCTGGAGCGGAGGCCAGTAATGGCTGCCGTACTTGGGTTGGTTTGGGTGTTTGGTTGGCGGAAGGGAAAACGTGAGAAGCCGAGAAGCAGAGAGCGCTGAAAGGGAAGAACGGTAGTTGGAAGGGTATTTATGGTTGCATTTTCTGGAGGTGGCGTACGGAACGGGGTAAAAAAAAGTGCCGTTTTTACGTTAACCTCTGGTAAAAAAAAATAAGCTGTAGGGTGGGGCACGTGAGGTGAAAAAAAAGTGGAGGGTAGCCCCACGGAGGGATGACGTGGGCAGACGGCACGTGAGGAGAAGGTCGTATGGATGTTTGTCACGTGGCGCAGGTTGCTTCTTGCTTTCATATTTTCTTTCTTGTTTTACGAATTACGAATTCTACCGCGCGGCGTGTGGTTCCTTTCCGTTGGGGAAGCGGAAGCTTCATCAGGGGAAAGCGTCAAATGTCGGGATTGCCCCTGGGATTGCTAAGACAGGTGTGGGGATAATGTAAAATGAAAAAAAAAGGTCAAATGTAAGACTAACTTAAGGACTAATCACTTAATTCCCTTAAAAATATGTCTAATCGCTTAATCAGGCAGTTAATAGGAAGATTCCAGGATGGATTAGGCGTTTTGATTAGAGTGGATTAATATAATATAATTAACGGGAGAGTTCCAAGGAAGTGAAAACTAGGCAGGCAGTAGGGAGTAGGGCAGGGGAGCTTGACTTTTACGGTTCCGGATTAATTAAAATAATTACACAAGGATCCATAAAAAAGTTTGACCTTTTTTCTCCTCCTTCCTTTCTCTCTCAGCCATTGATAATTGTAGCCTTTCTAAGCATTAAAAGTCATTAGTACATAATAATTGAGATCCTGTTTGTGATTAATGATAATTGTACTTGCCACGAGGGGAGGTGTAAATGTGAAAGACGGAAAGGGGTTGCGGGCAATAAGGTAAATTTCGTCTGTGGGGGAGGTGGAGAAGAAGAAATTCAGACTGCAAGGGAATCAGGAATGGATAGATTAAACGATGCCGTTTATTAATTTTATTATTTTACCAGTAAACATTTAGAGAATGCAATAAGTGTAGAGACTGGGCTACATATCCCAAGTTGTATTCCAAACGATGAAAGGGAAAAAAGTGATGAGCATTCAGCCTGGGCTTTAAGATTGATTGAGACCACTCTATGCAACGCACAAATACATGGTGATTCCCATATCCACATTGCATGCACATATACCAGTTCCAAAAGATACAAGTCCTCTACTCTTCATAAATGGTGTTGGGAACTTCAACATGGATCAAATGGTTAAATAGCGGGTGGTCAAGTCAAGTGAAAATCGATAATTGACATTGTCTATTGTCTAGTCGGAGTTAATGGTTTTGTACGGAAAATATAACAAAGTGATAAGTTTGAGAATATTGTTAATTAAAATAGAGGGTATTCTTTCCGTGAAACATAGTAGTAGAGGAGGCATATTGAAAAATATGGACGCAAAGGGTAAGATACTTTCGAAATTTAGGACTCTATTGTCAATAAGAATAAGTTCATGACAGAAATGACACTTTTTTTTAAGTTTTGATGTTCCTGTGGTGGCTTACCCTATTAATTTTTCTTACAATATTATATGGAGTCACGTTCGATTACCCGTGTGGAAATTTCCTGCCACCCGAGAGGGGAGCGTTGAGGTTCTGCAGCCTGCCTAACACCTTGGATGTCGAGAACCCTACAACTTGATTCTACTACGACAACAGTATCACTCCTACTAGCCGATCGATGACGAGTCCCCTCATCAACACCCCAAATCATTGTTACTACAGCTCACACCTACATAGAGAGTAATTTTCTCGGTCGATTGTTGAGTCCATAGAAGTTTGTCCATTCCCCACAGGTTTACAATTTGTTTCAGATGCCGATACGACTATTCGTTATCGAAATTTCTACATCATATGCCCTACAAGTAAAACAAGGCAATCTGCGTGTTTGCCACATTTTTCGAATCAAAATTATGATTGGGAAAAGAACAAGTCTACACATCCTCCCCCTCTCATATGATGGTTAGGGAGAAGAATCGAAGTTATTAGGGCAGAAACAGAAGAAGAGGGTCCCCGGCCGGTGTCCCAGTAGGTGAGATGGAATAGGGTGCCCTGCAAAAGGCAAACAGAAAAGAGCAAACCAAAGTGGGACAAAGGCCAACGTCCTCCCCCAGCTCCATCCCTTCTTACTGTTGGCTTCCCAGTCTCTGTTTCTGTTTCGTCCAAAAAAAATATTAAATGAGAATGTGTTTGGGTCCCAAAACATATCAGCTAACAAAACGTCGAATCCAAGACTATAATGCAGCCGTTGTTGAAGACGAGTGAGGACGAGCTACAGCCCCAAACACTTGCACATGTCGTAAATACTCTCTGGGCCGGTTCGTCATGTGACCCGGTTTCCTAGCTAACTGCCCGATTTCAGTGTCACAATCGACGAATGATCAATAGGTTAGTCAGGGGAAGAAAAGAGGGAATATATGATAATGCATTAATGCATGGTTTCTGGTTATAACAGTACCCCAAATGTTTGTCATTAGCCACAGAATTAAACATGGGTTGTACTGTTAGACCAACAGTACCAACTTTGGTCCTACTTACATGACATGAATCTAAAATCAGTGTTGACTAATATAGGAAGTCAATTTATGAATTTCGTTTGGGTTTGAGTTTAATTCAATTGTTAACGTTAGAGATAACGGAAATTCAAATACGATATACTTGTGATCATGATACCATAATCAATAAGAGTGAATACCAATAATACAAGTTGTTGTAAGAAATCTAGAAGTCAATGGATCTTACATAATCAAAACCCTGCAACTAATAGGTTGGCAATTTAATCCTTTAAGTCGGCGAATGATAAGGAAGAAAGAAAGAAAATTTCTTGCCTTGTTTTTTTCTTCTTCAAATAGAAACCATGATGAGAAAATAAAATTTACAAACGAATGAGGTTTGATCTGGTAGTACTATTATTAGTTTTCAACTTGGGATAGCAGGTGACCCCCTGCTGGTGGGGTGACATCCTTCAGTATAATTTATCTCATATCTCTTTTATTAGAGTTTTCGTGTTCGAGTCGTCTTGACGATGTTTTATTGTCTTTGTCCAGCCAAGTGTTAGTATTTGGGGATCGACCATGGGGCAAAACACCAAGATCCGATTTACAAGACTCCTAAGAGGTCACCATATAGACTGTACATGCGGTGCAGGTTACTGTGATGAGAAAAATAGTGACGGAAGAGTGTGGCATAAAAAAAGATCGGTTGGTATGCTTCCAAATAAGCTCAGTACTGCTCCTCTAAAGTCATCGACCTTAATCAATTGCTTTGTTGCTTAACTTCATTTTTAAGGGAACAGAGACCAAATTGTGGGCAAGTCCCAAGTTAGGCGGTCTCGTCATGCTACAAACCCAAACAACACCAATCATATCATCAAAAGTGACACTTCACAAAACAAAACCCATCATCATGAAGAAATGAAATGAAATAACAAGGCATGAAACTAAACAAGATGTGGGGGCAGGCAGGTGCTTTCTTTCATTGTTCATGTACAGCAAATCATTGAAACGGCTGGGCCAGGGCCATCGTCTCCTAATTCTTCCTGGTCGGGCCCCTGTTGATAATGTGCATTACTACAGTTCTTAGAACAAACAAAAGTTTTGTTTTGGTGCGTGATCACTGATCATTCCTTAAAACCGGTGGAAACTAGGTGCAAGATTGTTAGTTCATTGTTTTGGGTAGAAATAGTGTGAAAAGCTTGTTTCACGGTTGAAAATTTGAAATAATGGAAGGTGATTCCACGTTCAGATTTAATGCTTTTCTAACGAAGAAAAAGGCAAACATAAGTTATGCATGCAAGAGAAATTTTACAATACTATATAGTATTGGTGCTATAGGTTTTTGTTTTTATGGTACAATTTAAAATTGTACATTTACGTTATGGTACAACTTCTTATTGTACCTATACTTTTTGTACAAATTCTTTTATATGGTACAACTTGAACTTGTACATTTATGTGATGGTACAACTTCAAGTTGTAAAGTTGTATCATAACATAATGGTACAAATTGCTTTATGGTACAACCTAAACTTATACATTTTATGTTATGGTACAACTTTGAGTTGTACATTAAAGTACCAATGCTATATAGCGTAGTAGAAGTGCTCATGCATGCAATACAAACATTTAAGGGTTTGTTCGCTTGTTGGATTTAAAAATGAGGATTTTGAGTTTTAAAAACCTTTGAATTTATGATGGATTTGTTGCATTATGAATTTGAAAGAGTACATTGTTTGTTTAGTTAATTTTTATCATGAATTTATGATGGATGTCTCTCACAACTTTGCCTTCCATTATCAAATCCCAAATGAAATATGGGATTTGCAAATCCGTGGAGTCCACAGATTTGGATCTAAAAAATGTATCCAAATCCGTGGGCGCCCAGATTTTTGTCCCTTAGCAAACAATAGATTTGTATCACCCAAATCCCACAAGCAAACAATACCTTAATAATACTATTCTTTTCCTCTAGGCATACTTTTTTTGTGTGTAATCTAAAGCGCAGTGGGGCGCTCTAGCCCTTAATCATTAATCAGTAGAGGAGTGTGAACTCCAATAACATCAAAGTACAACCAATACTTGAGCATCTGACTTGGGTTGTTGAACACATGACACCCAATAGACAAAGAGTGGCCCAGGCCGGCCAAATAATCAGCAACATAGTTACCTTCCCGGAAAACAAGCTTAATACGGACCTCCCAATTCCTTTCCAACAGCCAGCGAGCTGTGCTATTAAGCGTTTGATGCGGGTGGCTCTCTGCTTCAGTTTGTAGAAGTTGCACCGCCGACATGGAATCAGTTTGCAGCTCCACCTTTCTTACTCCTTTCTCCCAAGCCATCCTAAGTCCAAGGACTATACCTGACAGTTCAACATGAGTTATAGAACCTCCACTCAAGTTGGCGGAGAAAGCTGATAAAAATCTGCCATCATTTCGTCACAACACGCCCCCTGCCGTTGTGCTTTCCTGACTCAATATAACAACTTCATCCGTGTTCACACAAAACCAATCACTCTCAGGCCTCTGCTAGCTAACTAGTCTCAGGCTGCGCATATTACTCTCCCTGATCACCCTTCTCATACTGGCAGCTATAGTCGACACTTGGGTACACCACATTTGGACTATAGCAGTGAGTTGGGCGGCCGAGGCAAGCTACTTCTAAAAGACCCAGCGATTCCTATTCTTCCAGAGTTTACATCCAAGTACAGTGAACAGCGTCAGGTCGATAATTGAGGTGCGTCCTGAGTATAATGAAGCACCCATTGGCTCACGTCCTCCTTGAAAAAAGCTTCATCGGATTCCCCATCTAAAAATTTTGACCACACCATACGAGCATACAGACAATCCCGTATTATATGTATCATCGTCTCAGGACCACCACCAAAAATAGAACATTTATCTTCATGTGCCATATGACATCTGCAACGCTCACGATTAGTGAGTAATCTATTGTGAAGAACAAGCCACATAAATGATTGTGTGCGTTGCGACCCTGGTATCTTTCAGACTGCCTTCCACACCGGATTACGCGTCCCTGCCACCTCCTCGCTGCGCAATAGCTCCCACGTCGGTATAAGACCCATCCTCATGGGGGACAGGATGTAGAAGGAGTTGATCAACCATCAGTTTGGGTAAGAAAGCTCTGACGAAATTCATATTCCAACCTCCATTTAACACCATTTCCGCAACCTTCAAGCCCCTAGCCTCGACCAGTAAGTTTGGTGCGAAATCCACCATTGGAGGCCCTTCTTGGAGCCAGTGATCAGTCCAAAAACATGTTTGCATGCCACTTCTAATGTTCCACAATATCCCCTCCGGTAATCGGTGGAGAACACGTAGAACTCCCCGCCACAGATTTGATAACTTCCCTTCCCTTCTCTCCTGCCACCCTCTTTCATTTGCTTAAGATACTTCCCCCTAACAACTCGTGCCCATAAGTTGTCCTGTTCTGAGAGAAGTCGCCACGCCACCTTGAGCATAAATGCCTCATTTATATCTGTGGCAGTTCGCAACCCCAGCCCTCCTTCATCTTTAGGTTTGCAGACTGAATCCCAATCTAGTAGATGAACCTTCCTCCCTTGTTCTGAACTTCCCCAGAGAAACCATCGGATTTTCTTATCAATATATTCTCCTCCTCCGTCAACTGATTTGCAAGAAGCATCCACTGCTGAGTGGGGAGCACTCCAAATGCTGTTGGGATCGTCACTATAGGGAGTCCATCATCTGTATACAGGATCGAGTAGAAATTTCTTGCCATCTGGAGGAGTTCCTCTTGCTCCTCGATCCACTCTCCCACCTCGTTCTTCAAAGCCGCACCCTATTCCGCCGGCGGCGCTAGACAGTCCGCGTGGGGAAATAATATGTGTTACGATCGCCCTTTTACATACATTCTTCCCTCGACTTTTGGCACCATAGCAATTCCTCCTGGAATAAGACTTCTTCCAGCTCGTCCCTGGCCTCCCGTAGCTCTACACAATCTGACTCCCCCCATACGTTAACTCAAGCCTTTCGATCATGAGCATGAGAAAGTCCTTTTTTCTCATGATAAAAGTAGTATAATTCCGACGTTTGGCTTCCATAGAGAATTCCGCAATGGCATTCAGTAACCTGGTTCCTCTCTTCAATGCACGTTCTACCATCTCCTTAAACCCAGCGTGGGTTAACCAAGGCGCCATGAATTTAAAGGGTTTAGGACCAATTGGCTGGAAGCTCGGGTTCAATTGCAATACTATCGGACGATGATCACTTTTCTTGACTCGAGGAAGATGCCGCACACTGGATTCTGGGAATAGGGACGACCACGCTAAATTGCCCAATCCTCTATCTAGTCTCTCCTTCGTCCCTGACCGGAACCAAGTAAACGGTGGACCAGTGAATACAAGATCCACCAACCCGGCATCTGAGATGAAATCCTAAAAGTCACGGGCGCGACTGGCGTCGAAAGGTGCTCCTCCCATTTTATATGAGAGCTATAAGATAGAATTGAAGTCACCCATGAGAGCCCACAAATCATGTATATCTTCCGACAGTGATCTAATTGACTGCCACAGTTCGCGCCTTTGTATTAGTGTGGGGTTCGCGTAAACTGCTATGAGTAGCCACCTATCGTTACCACTTTGGACTTGGACATGAAGAAATTGAGCTGATCTATCCTCCTCTGTAATGGTAACAATCGACGAATCCCAAACCATCCATATACCGCCAGAGAAACCCACTGCATCAACAATCAACTCCTTGTCGTATCCCAACTCATGCACGGATTGCAGCGCCTTATCCCCACTGATTCTATGCTCTACTATTATGTTGATACACGGACAATGTTTTCTCCGATATTCTCTAAACATTCTCAAAAAGCGCTTGCTTCCCGCACCCCTACAATTCCACGTAAAAATATTTAGCTTCATTGCAACAGGAACTGGTAGGTCCTTAGCTTGCGCCAAATTACGTGCCTGATAGTGAAGCATCAAGTGCGAGGCTGCCGTTTGGCTCTCCTAGTATTGATCCTGTAATATGCTTTTCATGTAGCAAATTATGTCACACTTCACTATGTCTACGACTGTCCTTCGGAGGTCTTGTTTCATGTCCTTGCCTCACCATGCTAGTATCCAACTCCTCTGTAGCATGACTAGGTTAAGTCATGATCGAGTCTCCTTGTCCATCATTATGCGCTATCGCTGCATGCCCCGACGTAGTTGTTTGAGCCAAGCTAGCAATCACCCCTGGGCCATTTCCACTATCTCTTATGGCTAGGCTTCTTGCGGAACCATGTTTTTTGGGATCTTGGCTATTCTTTCCAACTGCCTCACTGCGGACTTCATCCTCCACCTCCTGTTGCTTCCCATCCGTTTTTTTCCTTCTAGTGTGTTTTCGTTGTACCCGATCTTACCCTACTCCTCGAATGGCTGCCCCTCACACTCGTCGTGCCCATTTCCTGGTGTTCCACTGCATGCTCCATAGTCTCCTCCACCAGCAGCACATTGAATCTGGATCCTCAACTCTTGCTCGCGGTGTAACCGGGCTCTTGTTCATTATGTAGTCTGAATGTAGTAGTGACGTTTTCGCGACGACTCCTTGGATTTTTCTTTGCAATCATCCAATCCCCATATACATGTTCTGAATCCTTGGGAGAAGACTCTGGTTCCCGTTTACCTAGGAATCTCGACCTCATTCGGTTTCACCGGTTCCATAGTCTCTGTTGTCTCGTCACAAGAGCATTGTCCCCGTTCCGAATAAGTACCACACTTCTGGCAGATTCGCTCCAGACCCTCGTACTGAATATAATATTTGATTCCATGGATCTTAAACTGAGACAATAGCGGCTTAGTGAGATTCCCCTGGACACAGACAATGGCGTAATCCAGTCTCGCTCCTGTACTCGTTGTATGGTCCACTCGAAGCGGCTTACCAATCTATTTCCCTATTTTCATCATCGCATCCGGATGAAAATAGTGAGCCGGGAGTTCCAGGAGTCGAGCCCAAACCATTGTAGACAGGATCTCATGGCGATAGGGTCGAAGTGCTGGTCCCACATATGAACAGTTAAGTAATAGTCCCCCATCAGCCACGGCCCTACCGTTGCTGCTCGTTCATAGTCAATGTCGCTTGTATACCGAACTAGGTATTACCCGTTCTTGGCCGATGCAACTTGGATACCGCCCGCCTTTACCCAAATCACATTCAATCTGTTGGAGATTCCAGTGTATGAAACCGATTTCCTAGAACTTTGACAACCAATGCTGATATGTATGCCCTGCAAAATCTCCTCTCCTCAGCTACGGTAAAGTGGATCGGAGTACATACAGGATCCTCTTCCTCATCGCCAAAACCCTCGTCCATTCCATCTTATCTCATGGCTTCTGCAACTTCCTCCGAATCGGAATCCGCCACATACCAAGTATCCGTTTTCAGAACATCGCTGAAAAGCCGTCTCGCCGCACCTGAACCCGAATTCCAGGCTGTTTTCGTCGTATTTTTTTGTCTCCGACCGTTTCTCATGCGCTTCCGGAGCATCAGTTAATATTTTATGGTTTATTTCACCCATCGGTATCGGTTGTACCGTAAGTTCCACCCGCTTCTTACTTTGTTGCATCTCTTTGTCACCCTTAGGGTCGGGGGACGACGTTACCGATGGTGGACGCCTTTGTCCTGCAATGTTGTTAGCTGAGTTTGGAGGGCCAGAGCCCCCCCCCCCCCCCCCCCCCCCCCCCCCCAAGGAAGCGGTGTAGTCACCGCTATGATAGGTGATGTAAACCCTAACTTAGGAGTTTTCCGTCGCCTCTCCTACTTTTCCGGGGAAAAAACCCCAAGCAGAACCCTTCCTCGAGGCATACTAATAGAAATATAAAGAAAATCCAAAATTTCCTACAAACTTATCCTCTCAAGCGTACTACAGTATCTCTCATTCATATAACCAATTTTGAGGTGGTAAATCACTTATTCCATCCAATTCATCCTCTAGACATGCATATAATACAATACATTATATCCAAATCTATTTGAGTCGAATCCAATCCGTTGACGGATTGTTTGAATTGATAAATAGATGTTTGTAACATTACCATTTAATAACTATATTTAATATATTTTGCACCTCATATAATACAATACATTACATCCAAATCTATCTGAGTCGAATCCAATCCGTTGACGGGATTGTTTGAATTGATAAATAGATGTTTGTAACATTACCATTTAATAACTATATTTTATATATTTTGCACTTATATTTTCCATGTGCCAAGAAAAATTATATTCAAACGGTTACAATTTCTGTACCTAACTTTTTAAGTATGACACATCAGTTAACTAAAATTTTAAAGTGTTGCAAAATAATACAGAAATCAGATGTCACTTGTATATAAAAATCCAATTCAGTACACGAATCCATAAATTCATAAGTCCAATTCAATTACCCCTCTAAACCCAACTTCTCCAAAGAATCGAAATAAAACCTACCCGTTAATAATACAACTTTTCTAAAAACCAAACTTTTGGAAATCATCAACTTGTTGGAGTTTACAACCATATCCTTTAACATAAACACTTTCCTTTTCAAAAATGAAGATGACAGATCGAGTAGAACTTATCACCAGGAAACCTCTGTTGCTTCCAGGAAGTGGCTAAGAACTCTACCTGGAGAGAAGAGATGAGAGGTCAACTCTTTTAATAGTAAGCTAAGTAAGTAAGATCACTGAGATAACGAAAGAATCCAATCCATGCACCCATCTGATCGATCTGTCTGTCTCTCTGCTGTGTCTTCATTTCCCCCACTTAATTAACTAATCAATTAATTAACAGCAAGAAGACAACTGTTGCTAGCTCTCTTCCTCTCCTTCCTTCTACTGCTGCTGCTGCCAGTGGTTTTGCCTTTCCTCTGTTTGTCGTTCACGTTACAAATAGTACAGTTTTAAATTTTTTTAAAAATGATTGGAATTAATTGGGGGAGAGCAGAATCTGTCTTCCCCACCATTAGAAAACACACAAGAAAATGACAAGAACACAAACAGAGGGGGATCATTAATCAATGTACATGAATTAATTAAGTTACTATTACAGTACTGCTGTTCTTTGATTGTTGTCTTGCCAGTGTGAAGAAGGGCATATCTATTGTGAAGAAGAGGGTTGAATATATAAATATATGGTGGCTTCTGCGGTACCCCGGGTGAAATATGGGGTATCGTATACCTTGAGTATGAAAATTCTATCTAAACCTCGAAGTAACAAGATTTTTTGATCTGATACTATACCCAACCCTTAATGAGTGAACCCTAGGTCCTAGTTATCTAAATCATAAACTATAAACCCTAAGATGGTGCATTCATTTTTTGCCTATATTTGGGTGAATCATAACCGTCGATTATTGTTTCTAATTAAATTGATATTGGGGTATAAGATTTAGAGAATTAAGGCCTAGATTGTGATCTTTAAGGGTTAGAGTATAGTATCATGTCCGAAAGTTCAATCAATTCAATGTCTAGGTAGTGTTTTCATACTCAACGTATGTGGTACCCCGGATTTCACCCTGGGTACCGTAGAACTCCCCATATATATATATATATTGAATAAAGGGAGGCAAAAATGCCAAGAATCAAATTACAGGGGCCAAACGCCCAGCAGCCAGCCTACTGGTAGAGAATCTCTAATCCTCAATAACAGTCTGTCTCGGGAAGCTAACGCCGACAATGTCTTCCCGTAAAATCCGATTCATTTCCACCGGCAGCTCGTCTAGTTCATGCGTACCGAAAGGATAGACGAGACTGTGCTTCGAGAGCCAGTCCGCGACTCTATTCCCTTCGCGATACGTATGAACAAGACGAACAATCCAGTTCCGAGCAAGAAGCCTCCGAATAGCATTCAAAAGCGTGGCATGAGGATGGATATGATCTGTACGTTTGGTAATCAATTCCACTGCCAGTTTGGAGTCTGTTTCTAATATTAAGAGCTGAGCCCCTTTATTCCAAGCGTATTCAAGACCTTGATGAATACCCCACAACTATGCTAAAATCGCAGTCCTGGAGCCAATTTTGCAGCAGAAACCACCTACCCAGTCACTGTCTTTGTCGCGAATGCAACAACCTGCTGTTGCCATACCTGGGTTTCCCTGAGATGCTCCGTCAATATTAAGTTTTAACCACCCTGCAGGCGGAGGAGTCCACCCAACAAGTTGCTCTTCTCTATTTGGACTTGTCAAGGAGGATATGTTAACTCTGCCTCCCTTCCAAGACTTGCTCCAATCTTTTGCCTTAGTGAGAATGTAATTGATCAAGGTGGGTTTGGAGATTCTGCCCCCTTTGAATATGTGATCATTCCTGTGCTTCCAAATAAACCAGCAAATATTTGAGAAAAAACCAGCCCATTCTCCTGTTTCATCACTGACCTTGTTGCTTTCAATGTTTGTTTTCAGCCAAGTCTCTTGGTCGGAGTTGAAGAAGTTCTGGTGTTGCTGTTGTGGAATTATCTTCTCCCAAATGCCTCTAATCAACGCACAGTCCCGCAAGCAGTGAATGTTAGTTTCACTCCCAGCATTGCAAAGTGGGCACTGATTATTTGTTGTAAGGTGCCTGAATTTCCGTATATAGTTTGTAGAGAGCTTCCCTTTCATCGTTGTCCAGATGAACAAACGTACTCTTTAGGGTGAATGCATTTTCCAGATAAGCTGCCACAAGCCTGGATTCTGATCATGTAATTGAGGTGCAACCAATCTGTAAGCTGAGGAGGTGCTGAATTTTCTGTTAGCTGACTCCTTCCAAAAGAGTGTGTCTTCTTCCATGGAGAGTGAGTCTAGCATGGTTCCTCTGATCTTGTCGATAATTTCTGGGGCGAGGTAGCTTTCCATCTCATCAGTCCTCCAACCTGTAGTAGGGTGTCAGTAGTCTGCCACCTGCTTCTCTAGCATCTCCAATGACAGGTTCGCAGTTGCTATATCCGCTAAGGGACCCTGCAAAACCCAAGGACCAAGCCAAAACTTGGTTTTCTTACCATTTGTAATATTAAAGGCTAGTCCTTTGCGTAATAAGTCTGTAGTTTGCACAAAACTGCGCCAGCCATGTGAACTTCCCTTTCTCTTGGTAAGTATGGGCGAGAGTTCTAACCAACAAGTATGGATTGAATATATATATATATATAGTGACTACTTCGGTGCACTCACAAAAATGAGTGTGTTCAATGCACCCAATTCAAAAACTAGTCTTAAGGTGTCGGATTTTGAATTTTAATTGTAGAATTAGTGTAATATGATGATATAACATATGATAACAAATAATTAGCGGATTACCCTAAGCCCTAGACCTCCAATTTTGAGTTCTATCCCTAAACCCCAAAATATAAACCCTAACCCTAATCCTAAATCTCTAAACTCTAAATCCTTCAAATTAAGGTAAATCTTTAATGATTTTTGTGCAAATTCATGTGAGTTATTGTTCATCACATCATAAGTGATGATTGACATCATTTTGACATAAATTGCATATTTAAAATGACGGTTATGAAGCGAGTGCACTGAATGCACCTAAAAAAGTGAGTGCACCGAAGACGCCACTATATATAGGGTGGCGTATTCGGTGCACCCACTTTTTTCGGGTGATGCACCCGCCTCATAATCGTCATTCTGACCATGCGATTCATGTCAAAACGGTATCAATTGTTGCTTATGATATTATGAACAAGAAGCAAATGAATTTGAAAAAAATTCATTCAAATTTTACTTTAATTCGAAGGATTTAGGATTTAGGAATTTAGGGTTAGGGTTTACAATTTGGGATTTTGGTTTGGGATTCAAAATTGAAGGTTAAGGGGTTAGGATAATGGATTGATTTGTTATGATTTTATGTCATATCATCATATTATATTGAGAGTAATAATTAAAATTCAAAATTTGATGTCTTATGGACGATTTTAGAATTGGTGCACTTAGTGCACCCAAAAAAATGAGTGCACCGAAATAGTCACTATATATTATATGGTGGCGTGCTGATACAGAAACTGAGGCAATCGACGTTACCGTCGGTCCGCATTCCGTAAAACGCTATTTGTCATTCCCCGGCGTGTGAAGAAGACTAGCTACTCATATATGCTTACGATTCCGGCCAAAGTCAGTGACCTGAGGATTTTTCTTTGTATATAATATTAATATTACAGTCGATCGATCCATCAAGGCACAGTATTCACATTTACGAAGAGAGTATCTCTGTAGGTTACGGTTTCGACTTTCGACCTAGCTTGAGACAAAGTGTGAAGTAGAATCCGAAGCCCACACGCCAAAGTTTGAGATGGGAGCAGGATGAACGTTGCCAATGTGAGCTCTCCTCTTATGAGCTATTGGGAGCGAGACATGTGTTATCGAATGCAGGGGTGGTGTCAGAATTTCAAGTCTGAGCTTTCCCTTGATTATTCATCAAAATGTGAATTCGGATCAATCTCAAGTCTCAACTCGTTTATTTAAAATAGTGAACTCTTAAACTAAATTCCACTATAATTTGTAATTAAATAACCTTAATATTTGTATGTCATGTATGATCGATACATGTGATCAACTAATCTCATGTTTACGTACAATGTTGGTATTGCTCTAACCGAATAGCTCCATATATAAGTACAATGGTGTTTGCTTTGGATCAAACCCGCACGGATTTACTTTTTGGTATCCTCCCAAAAGGCCTGGTAGTAATTGAGTTTGATGGACACGTATATACAATGGGTCCTTTCCCTTGTATTGCTCATGTCGTACTTGGATTATCGTATAACAATCATCCCCTCAAGATAAGGGCCACGAACTTTGTGTCATCTCCTCAACGATTTTCTTGATATGTCACACACCTTATATCGACGGGCTTGACACAATGATTTCTCATATGCATATCTCCATTGATATGCCAGACCAAACGTGAATCTCCCTTGATCCGCCAAACAAATCCTAAAGGTCACATAATGAGGGTTCACTAAACTGACGTCCACCGCCCCGGATCCACCAACCCAGGCTCTGATACTACTTGCTGGAACCGAATAGCTCCATTAGTACGATATTGTCCACTTTGGGCTAAACCCACACAGATTTACTTTTTGGGTCTCCTCTCCAAAATGCCTCTTGCTTATTGAGCTAGGTGGACACTTATATACAAGAGTCTCTTCCCTTGTATTGCCGAGTGGTTGTTGGATTGTCTCATAACAGGTATCATATTATTTAGTCCATATTTTTAACTAGTTTATATAATGTAATTTCATAGTAATTAGTATCTAAGCAAATCTATGATGCATAATTTATCTTTTCAATTATAAACGAAACATATTTGCCCGCATATTCAAATTCCTTAAACATTATATGAGATGAGCTCTCCAATTTAACAAATATATGAATTATTAACAAGTCAACTCATACGATGTTGATCGACTTTCTTACAAGTCGGTAGTCGAATTAACTTACTTAGTTACAATGTTGGAACTGAAACATCCGATGATGAGCTCAAAATGGGGTCGTTCACAAGTTGAACTCTACAAAAAGTCATATGCTTTGGCTCTCGCACCTCTAGTACGGCATAAGTTCCAAAGCAAGCATTTCCTCAGTTTACACATGTGATCGATGGCCCTTCGAATTGAAAATGGAGCAGACAGATGAACAAAGTCAACAGTCTTGGGCAGGACACGAAGGGTGCACAAATTTAGAGCCCCAAGAAGAGAGCCCCAAAACCAGCCATTTTTCTGCCTTTCTCATCTGTTTCCATTTCTGGGTCCTTCTTGACACGGTCATTACATTACATTACATTAATTATTAACACTTCTTTTCCTCCCGTTTGTCGAGTGAATACATGTATATTTTTTCTTCTTCTATGCATACGATTGATTAGTTATATTTTACCTTTATAAAGAAACATGAAGCCAATTAGCATAGGCATTGATGCTTATGATTTTATAGTTTATAACTCTTAATTAATTTAATTAATACAAAAGCTGTTTGGCAGAGAAATATAATTGAGGAGTGTCTGGTGTGTTAACAAGTTTTGTCCGACTGTCGGCCTATCACAACACCGGGAATATTGGAGCTGGTCCACCCGCAACTATAATAAAACAACCATGTGTATCTATCTATTTCACCTCAACGTGAGCTTATTATACTATGCTTGGATGCTGGATAATTAATTTCGAAATATTATTGATCAAATTGAAAAAAGGAACATTATAATCTTAAGTAGAGTTTCAATGAGTGATTTAGCGGTCATGTGGACTGTTAATAATGGGGTAGTTCTCTAAATCATGCAGCTGTTTTTTTGTTCACATGCTAGAAGAAAGTTTTCTGGTTTCTCACCCTCTCTCGTATGTTCATGAGAAGTATTTTTATCCATGATGAATTTGGGTGGTTTGATGTAGTGATCAATCAACTCTATTAGGTCTTTGTTTGGATCATTTTCAAGAAGTTATTCGTGGGTATCTGTTGAGAGAAGGGTTTGATATCGAATTTTTTTTTTTTTTTTGAATATGCTTAGAGAATGACACTTCTTAATGGGAAAACAAATGATCGAGATAATGAGAGCGAGTGACAGCGTCAAATTTGAAAGAATCAATAATTTATACAATAACAATTTGGTGGCTCGTAACCAAATCAACTCGCACTAGACAATGTACAACTAATGAGAAATTGAGAATCAATTTATCAATGTTTACAGGTTTAATTTACTCACGAGGTTACTGAATTTTATTTTCATTGATTTTTAGTAAAACCGTGATCATAAATTAAAAATTGTATGATTTTACTAAAATTTGATAAAAATAAGAAGGAAAGAACCAGTACTAGGCCGGGTTTCTCTCTTTTTTCCCTTTTTATTTGATTATGATATTATTATTGTCTTGCCCTTTTTCTACAACAAATTCCATTATACCAAATCAATATTTTGATCTGCATTTCCAAATTCTGACTACACCCTTGATATTCTAGACATATCTTGGATTCTTTTTGTTTGGAATTAAACTTTAGCCTATGTAATTCTCTGGAATACATCTTGTCAGATTATCAAAGGTTTGTAGAAATACCTGGAATAATGTCGGTTGATCATCAGAGACTTGATGCGGAATATGAACGACGATCTTGAACAAGACGATACTCCTAGAGCACGATACAGGAGGTTTTGTGACATTCCTCAACCAAGCCTCCTTAGTTCCTATACGGGAGAGCTTTCATCTTTCTGATGGGAAGAATATGACATTGTTTTGGTCTTGGTGTGTTGGAGACCACAACCTCTAGCACCTTTATATATTAATTACCATGGGCTCCCATAATACCCAAGGTGACCAAGTATTGGGTTTCCACTCATTGGACCCATATTAGACTTGAGTAGTCATGGGCCACATAAAATTGACCACTTAATTTAGCTCATCTTAGTAAATAACAAATATAGTGTGTTTGGAAATTAATGACCCACATAAATTAGGAAATGAATTTCCTAACACTTTTCGCTATATATCTTTGCATATGATCAATATATTATATTAAGCTTCATATATAAAAAATCAACATCATGTTAATTAATCTTCATAAAAATTAGGAAGATCTTGCTAATATATAACTGGCTAATAAACATTGTGAACTGTGGAAGGTATACTTTTGCTGCGCCGATCTTACAACTTGACCATAGTTTACGCTAATCCAAATACAATAATCTCTACAAATCGGTTTCTGGAAGCATATATAGAGCCAAGCCTTGATAACGAAATCATTAACATAAATTAATTACCGACAAAAAATCATTAACATAAACCAGTCGAGTCAAAGCAACCCAGCTGCTTGCTTAATTGTTTTGTAGTTAATTATGGCAGTGTACCGTGGCGATTAATCTCTCCCACCTCTTCTCTGTCTCGACGCTTAATTATATCAGCACATCGACTAGCTAGACATCTCATATCTGATAGAGATACACCAACTTATAATATATGTAGAGAGGCCACACATCAACTTCTCTCCAAATCATTTACCCTTATACTTCATTTGTTTCTTAGTAACTGTTTGATCTCAATAACTCGAGTGATTAAGAGATGTTTTATAATAAATATAATGTTATACTACATACTAACACGTCACTCAAACATAAGTGAACGTATATGTACTTGAAGTTTAAAAAGCTCTAAATGTCATATGTTTAATAAATGGGTCGACGGTATAACGAACACAAGACCTCGATCATTGAAAGATCAAATACCATGTAATAACATTTTGGTCACAATAACTCGAGTTTTTTTACGTAGTTATCCCTAAAAGAGTAGCATCATAGGTACAAGAAATATACAAGACATTTGCAGGTGACCAGGTCACAAAATGAAAAGAAGGAAAAAAACGCTCGTTGACAAATAACAGATCCAACAATATAAAAAGATTATTTTGCCATGATAATATTGACAGCCCTGTTAAATCTAAGAGGTGCAAAATTAACCGAGGCACGCCGAAAAGAAGAGTTACTTATTGATGATTCTTTATTTGATACGTACGTATAGCCGGTAATGGCCAGACTTACCTTATTCTGTTATGTCCTGCGCGACGAATCCTATAACTCGAGTTGTTGGAACTTGAGAGAGGTTCAATTATAAATCTTTTATTATTTACTATCAAATTAGTACTCCTCCGGTTTTGTTTGAGGACATAATAAGAAGTCGTGTCACAGATTCGTATTATTAGATTACATGATTATGTCGAGGAGATATGTAGCCATTTGGCTACCAGAATCGGGTTAAGACAACGGATCCAGCCTTAAACTTCAGCAGATCGAGGTCCCAACTTCGAGGGCAGACCGTATCTTGAAGCAGAAAAACTACTGACATATAATTAAGTATCTCTTATTTGATGGGGAGGATATCTGATGAGCAGAGATTCATAGTCATTGGTTACATGGGTATCTTACTTAGCTTGGAAATTAAGGATAATCAGAACTTTGGAGGAATCTAGAGGATACTGGTCTGCTATATCCCTCTTGTCCAATGGTGTCTGTCGAGAGCAAGAAATTGAACCAAAAGTCTCTGAAGATTTGGAGGACCAGATATGGGGAAAAAGACCCGCTACTAATTAATTACATGGGATGTGTAAGAATATACTTGAATTGATTTTCAGAGGAAAGGATCTCATTCTCATGGTTTACATCTGGTTGGAGCTTTGTATGGGACATCTGAAGAGAGAAGTTTCCATGATATTAGATAATGGTTGTATTAGATAATCTCTAATCTAATACAGGAGGGGGGAAAGAACAAGAGACAGATCACAACTCTCGTAAAGAAGGATATGAGATTATAGTCGATTCAATATGAGCCGTTCCAAACATCAATACGGTTCATTATGATATGATGCGAACCAAATCAATACACACCCTTTGTGATAATATCATCCCTCTTTGACCCCTAGGCAAGCATTAAGGGGGTCATTTCCTCTTAGGATTTTGGTCAAAGGATTTTTGCTCGAAATCCCACACCCATAAGATTATAGACAAACTCCGTATCAAAAACTTTGAAATCAATGGATTATAAAATACCACGTGTTAGCTGAGATTTTGGAAGAGCAAAACTCTATGATTGAGAAATAGTAAAAGTACTCAATAGTGAAAGTGTCATTATCATCGCACTCTATACAAATATTTGCTCGTACCGGCCTCATACTCATTCAATACGAGAATTTTTGCATTGATTGAGTCAAAAGCGATCAGATACTCACGATAGCGTGTTTGCTTGCCATCCTAGTAGCAGATTATCGGCTGGCTGCCTGTCCAGGTTTATGTTTTCCAACTTTCCATCCTCTTGTTTATGTTTTATGGACAAAATGTTGGGACAACGTGGCAAATATCCTGCTCACAAATAACAAGTTGCTAGGTGTCTGGTTTCATTCATTACAGCTGCTGCTCTTTATGGTACATACTCTACTGGAGCCAGTTGGTCTGATAGTGTAGTTTGTTTGAAATTTCATACAGAGTTCGTTATCAGAAATTCTCTTATCATTAGAGAAAAGAGCCGACAAGTTAACTCATGATATGATTGGGAGACTATGATATGATCCTCTTCTCTCTCTATTTGGTGACCATGTCAACTTCTAAAAGCTGTTTCTCCTCCATTTCCTCCTTCTGTTCCTTCCCAATTCAATTCCTTCTTTGATATCATTATATTGTCGGGTATAGAGATCTTGACTTCTGATGATCTTCAATGGATCATAAATGGACACATGTGAATAAACAGTGTAGATGATGATCTGCTATCTTTTTTTTGGACAATGAAGATCTGTTGTATTCCAAGGGACCGAAAAAGAGCTAAAACCAATTCGCTCTCACATTAATCTTCCTCGAGAAAGGCTTCGATTCTGGCATCGAAGCAAGCCAAGTAGAGCGACTTCAGGGCTGGGTGGGAGGATCAGCATTCAGAGAGAACAAATGAGGATCCACGATCGAATCGAAACCGAACATGGTGGTCATATTTAAGTACTAAATGTAGAGTTTCTGAATGAGGTTTCACTTCAACTTCAGTGAGGATAGGGGCAAGGGATAGTACCATGCTGTCTGGCATAGGACTGTCTATGATTATCAATGAGAGTAATACCACAAGTTGGTATTTGGGAATCATTATGAATTGGTTGAACCTTTTTCTCTGTGGTCCTATAAACAGTCATGCTCAAGTTGCTAAGCAGTACCTATAGATAAGTTGGTCCAGCCTTTTTCTTGTCTCCCTTGAGCCAACAATCAGGGCAAACGTACTACCAGAGGTGATGAGATGAAGAGTTCATCTCTTTGTGAAGAGAAGGCTGCTTTACATGTGGTCAAAGCTAATGATATTACAAGAAGAAATTTACTTTTTTTTTCTGCCATAAGTCACATGGAGAACTAAACAAGCAATTCACTGAAATGTAGGCCACTGAACTTGGTCCCTTGTAATCAGTGACAATTATAGATCTTCTGCTGTTTCGCTTGTGTATGCTGCTCTAAGAGTACCCTTACGTTCTTCCGTTGTACTACGATTGACTGCGATGAGACGAGCTCAGCCTTCTGCCTTCTTTGTGGCGAAGGCGATAAAATTCACACTAACATCGTCAGATAGAAGCCACTTCCCGGTTAAAGGGTTCAACACAAAACCGGCCATTTCTTCAACCTGTAAAAACCCCATGTTACGAAAAGGAAGATCCAGATATATTAAAAGCGTAAACGAATCGGATACCCAATGCAATACTTCTAAATGGGGTACCAGAGAAGAGTGAAACAGCTTACATCTATAGAAGACCGTTTTAGGATCATGACCAGCTCTTCAGGAGTGAGGAAACTAGACCACTGGTGCGTGCCACGAGGAAGCTATGCATGCACCACGAGGGTTACAGGTTAAAATTCACAGAAAACCTTGCATGTTTTTAGAGAACAAAAGAGCTCATCGTTCCTTTAGAAGGAACTTCACGGTTGAAGTTATAAAGTTGCAGGGAAAAAGTACCCAATGGAGAATGTATTCAGCAGCAACTATGGCAGCTGCATATGCTCTGATAGATCTGTTGATCGTTGAGATCACCACGGCTCCACCTGGGCGAGTTAGTGCTGCTAAAGACTTGCAGAACTCTGCGGGATCAGCTACGTGCTCAATTACCTTGATAGGGTTTGTCAAACGAAAAGAAGTGAATAGAAGTTGCAACCAAATGGAAAGATCTAAAGGAAAAGGAATGCTGCAGTCTAGAATCGGAAATTTTGAGCACACAACAATTGATCACGAATACCTCCAGTGACATCACAGCATCAAATTGCCTTCCCTCCTCAACTAGTTTTTCTGCAATGCAATAGCAGCTGTGTAAGGTTACTGCCTTAAATATAAGTGGCTAGCAGCATAGAGCTTCCAAGTATCTCAGTTTCATATTGCATTAGCCCACTCTTAGAACATCTTGAGACTCAAATGTCACCCAGAAAAGGAAATCACTGTCTACCCTTCAAGATCAAGAAATTCTTATTATCCAAGGACTAGATCAGCACAGAAGACTTTGACACAAGCAAGACATAACCGATGGTAGATGTTGGTACACACCTGCAGTTGTGCAAACATAATCGATGGTAGATGTTGTAGGATCCAAATCCTGAGACATGGAGAAGTTTCACAACATTTCCAACTCAAAATTTTAGCAAAGATACTAAATTATTAACAAACAAAAACGGGATGGTGGCAAACAAACAGGCAAAGCTTCCAACAGACCAGGGCACAACTAAAATTGAAATTGTCCACATATACGAGAAAACAACGGCATGGAAAATCCAAAGGTGAAAACACAAATTCAGATCATCCAGAGCATAGTAAATGTTAGACTGAACTCACAGACAATGGTCTCAAATGAAATGCAACAATCAGGCGCTAGTGCTACAAGAATAGCTTCAACTTTCACCCCCGAAAATATAAGCTTCAAAAATCGAACATTCAATCATTTCAGTAGAAGAAATCATACAGCATGAAGGTGTGCGATCTTAATATTCTTCTCCACAGCATCAACTCCCGTCACAGTTGCTCCCAATCGTGCCAAAGGCTGATGAGATTAAAGAAATAACAACCATGTTACCAACAAATATGTCGAGATCTCTCTTCGGGCTCTAGCATACTACCAGGAATATTAGCAGTTGGAAGGTTGCCCAACAAATTGAGTACCCTAGACTAGAGTAGGCACACACAGACAGAACTCATGGCCAAACCCTGCCCATTTTTTACTCATTCACGACGCTTGCACTCTCTAAGCAAGCATATCAGTGATATATGGGGGACAAAAGGCTGATTACGGAATGGTGAAGTACATGTGTACCTCGGAAAGAATCCCACCGCCACAACCAACATCAACAATTTCCAATCCTTCAAATGGTTTGGGCACATTAGGGTCCTTGCTGAACAAAGCAAAAGTTATCAGAAGCGAAATGCTAAAAAAAGAACTGAGCAAGAAAGAAGCAGCCTAAATTCTTTGAGCAAACCTGAAATGTCGACAGAGAGTGGATCTAATGAAAGCAAGTCTGGTAGGATTCATCGCATGCAGTGGCTTAAACGGCCCTTCAGAATCCCACCTGCAAAATTCACAAGCAAAAAATCGACAATGAACGCTTGTTTGATCGTTTACTCGATTACTTAGAGAAGCAATTTCGGCGAGACATACCAGGTATCAGAAATGGCGGCGAATTTAGCCAGCTCGTGGTCCTTGAGAGAAGACGTCCTCTGGCGCTTCTCGCCGGCACTACCGGCAGTCGGGGGAGGGAGCGGTGTCGGTGTGGGAGTTGGAGTTGGAGGCAGAGAAGGGTGAGAATCAGAAGATGGAATTTGCTGGCCGGAAAAGAGCCGGGCATTGCGGAAGAACGGGCGCTGATGTTGCGGTGAGATTAGACGAGTGTCGAGCTGCCGAAGTCTGCTCAGAAGCTTTGCCGCCATGGCGGTTCCTCTTCGTTTGGTTGCAGACGAAGAACAACTGTAGATCGGAAAACGTGGGAAGTGGGGAAGAGGGAATAAGAGCATATCGAAATAGAAGTGGAAAGTTCATGGGCTCTATTAATTGGGCTCCTCTTGGTCATGCTCATGCTCATCCAACCGAAGGTAGCCCGGCCCACTGTTCAATTATAACTGCCTACTTGTTATAGGCTCTGTTAGTATTTTTGACAGGATCGACCAAGTTATTTGGTTATCCGGTATATAGGTTTTCTATTGGCTATTGTACAAACTTTGGATCTTTGTTTTTTCTCATTAATCATGAGATCTATTGCCAAAAAAAAAAAAAAGTAATTAGAAAACCACACTAACCCTAACACATGTTTAGTTATTTGTTTGTAGGGAAGATCTTTTATAGTACAAAAAATTACTTAACATAGATGGCTGTTGTTGAAAAACAAACCACATTACAACATTTAAGGAATTGGAATGAAAATCACCATCGACACATTCCTTAGTGTACAAGCAATGGAAAGAACGGTGGATCTCTTATATATTGCGATCTATTTTATAATGAAAAGGTCGATATTCATAAATAAACTAGTCGACCGCAAAATGTAGAGGTTGATCGGTTAGGGTTAAAAATATCTTCATACCTCCCGCCAACATCATGGAGAGTGCTTTAAAGATAATGAATATTGTGATTGTACTTGAAAAGCTAACCATATAGCCGATGTGGTCGAGCTTAAAGCCAAGAGAACTTGTTTACCAATTTTTAGAGTGAAAACTAACAATTTAGATTGTTATTTATAGATCTTTATGTTGTTGTTAGCTCGGGTTAAATGATAGAAAAGTCATTATTCCGTATTGAAACCTTTTTAGTGGTGGAATGTTGTTTCAACATTAATAAGGTAATGACCAACCAGTCGATCATTCTGTTTTCCTAGTCAACCACTATTTCCTTTGTAATGATGTAGTTGTGTCATCCGTTAGACCATTTTAAGGAAGAGGTCGACCGATTTGTGAGTCTCATGCACGATTTTGAATGAGAGAAAAAAGTAAGGAATCCTCTTTTCGACTTTGACCCTCCCACTCTAGTTCGTTGTTTTTCTTTCTTTCCTTTTTCAAGTTTATCAAGAGAAAAAGATTCCTTGTCTAGGCTTCTAGTATATTTTGAAACTCAATACTTGGGGTTTTTTTTTGTTCAATCTTATAATTCCATTCCTACTACTAGCAATTGAGTGTGCATTTTATTCCCTCCCAGTCGATGCTTTTGATTCACTTCACCTTCTTGCTACCTGATCATCGTAATGGTTAGCTATTACCTCACCAACTAGCTAAACAGACATGAGCTCCTCGAGCGGATTCCAGACAGTTCGGGAGGAACCACCACGACTCATTTCTTCTCGAGAATCAATACATCCCTTATCAGTGTATGGACTGCTACTATCTCTCAAGCCCAAGATTAAGATGATATCAGTCATTTTGTCCAAATTACGGTAACTTACAAATCACAGTAACAAAATCCAAAAAAATATATTTACTCAAACAAATGAAAATTAAGAGAGATTGAATTGAGTTAGTATTGGGCCCGTAGTTGAGCTAGTGTTGGGCTTAGGGCCCAAAAGGAGCCGGTCAGGCAAGACCCGAAGGAAGGACCCAAGCGAGGCCTAGCAGAAGGTCTAAGAAAGGAGCGGGCATAGGGAAAAGAGAATGGCAGACATCCACTCTAGGATGGGACAAGGAGTAGGCCGCCTGACATAAAGTACACTTGGTGGCAGGAAGAGAAGATCTTCCTAGGATACTCACCACGAACACTGCAGGACTGAGCATTAATTGACCGCCGTAGGGCGCCTGACATGGCATTTAATGCCCCAAACCCAACCTTACTGGCTATAAATACCTTCATATCCTCATTGATGGTAACTCAACTACTTCCTCTCTCTCTCTAAACATAACATAAATTCTCTCTTCTCTCTCTAACTTAAGCATTGGAGAGTTTCCTGGGTGACCGCCCATGGACCCTTGTTTTGCAGGGATCTGGAGTACACCCACCCTCTAGAACAGGCGCCTTGCTCGTTCTTCATAAACCACCTAGGATATTCTAGGCTTAAACAATTTGGCGCCCACCGTGGGGCGAGCAAGGCACTGAAGAAAAGATGGATGGGAGCTCCAAGACCCCCGTCAAAGGTATAGTAGAAAGAAGCGACCTTCGCGGCCAAGAAATGCAAAGAAACGACATCTACGGACTGGAAATGCCGACGGTGGAAGAAGAAATGGAAATGGAGGACCGCGTGAAAAGTCAAGGAAAACAGATATCAAGCATGCAGGAAAGTTTGAGCCAAATCTTGGCCATGCTCAAGGAGAAGGGAAGCGAAGTGCCAGAGAACTCTGGAAGACAAACAACGAAGGGAAAAAGGAAGGAAAGAGGATCCCGACAGCCCTCCTCATACAGTAGAAAAAGGCGCGGAAGATCTCAGCTTGGGCTTCTTGGAGGAACACCTTAAACCCTCATATGGAAAGGTAAAGGGTCACAACATCCTCCAGAACCTACTAGCCAAAAGCTTATTTAAAACTCAAGTTCCCCCAAACTTCTCATCACTGGGATTGCCGACGTACAGTGGAAGTTCCGATCCCGCCGACCACTTGACCGCCTTTATGCTAACCATGCAGCTCATCAACGCCACAAACGCTGATTTGTGTAAAGCGTTCCCTGTCACGTTTAGTGGCCACTGCCGAACTTGGTACACTTCTCTGCCTGAGGGGATAATTGAAAACTTCAAGCAGTTTGCCACCCTCTTCTCCTCAAAGTTCGCATCTCAACGAAGAAGGAAGCTGACCATGTCTGCACTCATCAACTGCAAACAGGGAGGAGAAAAAAAGCTGACGGATTTCAATGATCGGTGGAACACCATAGCGTGTGGGGTACAAGGAATCTCGCCAAGCGTGGTAGCAGCAGACAACTTGCGCATGTCGACGCATAGTTGCGTGCTTTGAAGAGCGCTCATCAAGAAGGAACACGCTCTGAAGGAGTGGCCAAATTTAGACCGCCTAGTAGGGAAAGCGATCTTGCTAGAAAAATCCATGATCATAGAAGATGCTTCCAAATGTGTCAACCCAAGAGTGGATAAGTCATATAAGAAAAGGGGAGGATCGCCCAGGAGAAGAGGGCGTTCTCTAGAAAGGCGCAACTACAAACCGCGGCTTCGTCACCGAGACAACAAGCGGGAGGCTTTTACCACCAACAAAGAGGAAAGCAGGGAAAGGAGGAGAGACTCCAAAGATGAGAACCAGACGCATAGGAGGGAATAAGATCGAAAGTGGTGTGACTGGCACCAGATGCCCACCCATGACACCACGGATTGTCGGGAGTTCAGGGCAGTTTGAAGTACTTGGCGCTCGGAGACCTGAAAAGCCATCTGGATACGCGGCCGCATCGCCAGGAACAGATGCACGACAAAGAAAGGTCGTCGAGCCCGAGAAGGAGGTCTCGCATGCCCAAGCGCAGAAGATCAAGATCGCTGAGAAGAGAGTGATCCCCTCGACACGACCGTTTACCGCCACCGCCAAGAAGATCTCCTCCCCATCGACAGCCTCGACTCAATGACGAAGATGTGGAAATCAGCTTCGCGCCCTCTGAGCTGGCCTGGCACCTAATGCTAGTGGAGAAGATCCGTTGGTCATCTCCTTGAGGACAAGGAAGTTCAAAATCACAAGGGCTGATAGACCGTTAATTGCACATGTTTTTACTCCTAATCTTACACCGTTTGAGATGTTGATTCTCGTGTTTTAGGCCGATTTCACGCTAGGTTGTTCTTGTTTGTGATATTTCAGGTCCTAGTACGTGAATGAAGGTTTGGGAGCGAGTTCGGGGTCGATTGGACGAAGTTCGGACGTGTGGTGAGACACCGAGGAAGCCACACGGGCACTCCTAAAAGCCACACGCCCGTGTAAGGAACCCATGTGGCCGTGTGGGATTTACCGTGCCTTCACACGGGCATCCTGGAGATTCCACACGGTCGTGTGTCCCTAGCCGTGTAGGAAGCCTGAAGTCCACTTAATCGAAACTCCGCGTTTTGACACTCACACGGGCAGCTGGGTCAGCCACACGGCCGTGTGGCCTGCCCGTGTGGTCGGGATTTTCTGGGTTTTAACCCAATTTCGAGCAAAAAGAGAGGGGATCGACTTTTCAGAGCAAAAACAGAGCCCTAGAGAGAGAAAGTGCGAAGAACACATCCTAGAAGTGATTTTGGAGCTGGGTTTCATCAATCGAGCTTGGAGATCATCATAGGAGTGAGGATCATCATCCCAGAGCAGATTCTTCCCATTGTTATGAGTATGACTACTTTGTATTCTGTTTTCCTCTCTCTCTCTATGGAGTAGAACCCTCTCTCACTTGGGTATGAAGAACCCTAGTTCCTTGTGTTAGGGATCATGATTGTAATGGCTTGGGATTGCTATACTGTTTGGTTTTAATCGAATGATGCATGATTCATTGAATTGATTGAAGTCTGATAAGCTTTTCTTGATTTCTGCTGCAACCTGAGATAGATAGAATCTGATTAGTTTGTTAGAGCTTCATCATTTAGTAGAAGTAGATTGGTTATACGAGAGTTAGTCAGTCTACTGCTTTGTACTGGAATCCAATTCCAGTAGTGGAGTTCTGTGCTTATTGCTTCAGCTTTCTATCCCGGTGAAGACTAGTCGTCTGCCGGGTAGTTAGACTAAGAGGGCTTGGTCAGCTTAAGAGATTCCAAGCTACTATCGGATCTTCCGCAGTTTAATCAACAATCAATCAACCCAGGGTAATTTCAATTGAGACCTAACTAAGGAGCTAGGGGGACTCATTCCCGAGTGACTCTTCCTTTGCTTCAGAAAACCGAATCAATTCCTGCTTTCTTACTGCTTTTAGTTAAAACCACAATCAATCAACTTAGTTGGCTAGATAATTGATATTCACGGAGTAGGTAGTAGATCTAGACCCCGGGTTGATAATTAGAGCTTGCCACTTTACTGCATTCCTGGAATTCGATTACACTTGGTCGCAGTTTGGTGTTGTGTCGTAGCGTATAAGTTTTTGGCGCCGTTGCCGGGGAGACTTCTAGGTTATTGGAGAAACGTGAAAGTTTGTTACTCTAGCCTTTCCTTTACTGCATTTTCTCTCTTCCACCTGTGTGCCTTCACGGGTTGCTTTCGCTGATTGTGTGCATGTAGTGCATGACCTATAGCCAGTCGGGAGATTTACTACCATTAGACCAGGAGCTTGAACGGACCTGCAGGAACTTCAAGCGGGCTCTAAAGGCACGACTGGCTGCGGAGGAGGCGCTAGCACAGCTGCAAATCACCAAAGAAGAAGAGATGGGTGATCCACAGGACCATGATGTGGTCCTTCCCGAGGAGCAGACCATGGGATACTACTGTACCGCCAGGTCCGCGGACATGAGGTCGCCCATTCAACACCCTCATGTGCCAGCGAATAATTTTGAGGTGAGCACCTCTGTCATCACCATGCTGCGCGGTTCGGTGGTGTCCGGGGCAAAGAGGGGGAGTGCCCCGATCACATCTGAGGCGATTCCATGAGCTCATCGATGGAATCAAGATAAATGGGGTCCCAGCCGATGCCATCTAGCTGAGGTACTTCCCATTTACCCTGGAGGGGCAGACCAAGGAGTGGCTAGACACTCGACCTCCAGGCTCTATCACCACGTTCGCCAACCTGGCGGACAAGTTTCTCACTCGCTACCATCCCCCGTCCAAGACGGCGGACCTACAGAAGCAAATTACCCACTTTGCTCAGGACGAAGATGAGACCATCCGAGATGCTTGGGAGAGATACACCAGTCTCTTCCTCAAGTGTCTCAATCATGGCTTTACTGACGCCTTCAAGGTGGGAACCTTCTACCATGCCCTCTTCCCGGAAGACAAGCAGCTGATTGACTCGGTCTATGGCGGGAATATGCTCACCAAAACACGCCAGAGCTGAATCTACTTTTTGAAGAAATGGCAGAGCAGGGCTATGATTGGGGAACTGCGAGGAGATCGAGACGAGCAACTGGACTGGGTGTGCATGCTGTAGCCACCCAGTCATCTGTTTTGGTGCAGGTGGTATCGAAGCTGGTTTCAGCCATTGATCGCTCCGGGATAATTGCAGGCACCGGACAGCAGCAGGCGATGCTCTGCCAGTGGTGTGAGAGTTCTCATCACACCGTGGAGGATTGTCAGGCAATGAGGGAATCTTCTATTCCCCAGGAGCAGCTGGACTTCATCGGCGATGCCAGGCGCTTCGACCCCTACAGCAACACTTACAACGAGGGGTGGCGCCAGCATCCCAACTTCTCCTGGGGTGGGACAAATTCCAAACCACCAGTTCCCCAGGGACCACCTGGCTTCTAGAGGCCTCCTTACCAGCCTAGACAAGGGAAATTACAGCAGCCCCCAGCCTCTCTACCCGCCCAGACAAGGGCCAGTTCCACCTCAGTCACAGGTGCGGCCATTTCATCAAACAGGGGCAGCACCTGTAGCCCCAGCACAGAGTGACCCGATGGCGGAACTGCGAGATCTGGTGGGTTCTCTGGCCACCTCCAGTGCAAACAAGTTCAATAACATCGAGCAGTTCATGGAGAAAGCTTCAGGCAAATTCATGGAGCTAGAAGCTTGTCAGAGAAACACGCAGGCTGTGCTGCGGGATATCCAGACCCAGCTTGGAAGTGTTGCCCATGCTGTAGCTCAGAGGCCTCCTGGTACTCTACCTGGTCAGACCATCCCTCATCCGCAGAACCCAAATGAGCACTGTAAGGCCATTACCACCAAGAGTGGCAAGGTGACTGCTGATCCACCTGTTTGGGCACAAGAGAGAGACACCCCTGCTTCAGCACTTCCAACTAATGAAGAGGAAATGGAGAAGGAGGTTGAGGTGCCTGCTCCTAAACCGCAACCAGTGGCGAAGGAGTATGTACCGCAGCTTCCCTTTCCTACTCGGTTGCACAAGGACCGACTGGAGACTGAGTTTGCCGAGTTCATGGCAATGCTGAAGCAGGTCAACATAAGAATGCCCTTCGTGGAGGCATTATCGAAGATGCCCAAGTATGCCAAGTTCATGAAGGATCTCCTCACCAACAAGAGGAAGCTTGGGGAGCTTTCAACGGTGATGCTCAACAAGGAGTGTTCTGCCATCCTGTGGAACAAACTACCAGAGAAGCGAAAAGACCCAGGGAGTTTTACTATCCCTTACATGATTGGTAGTTTGCATATAGGAAAGTCATCGGCGGATTTAGGCGCTAGCATAAATGTCATGGCATATAAACTGTTTAAAAAGCTAGGCCTAGGTGAACCCAGTGATACTAGGATGAGCATTCAACTTGCTGATAGATCCATTGTGCATCCTAGGGGCATTGCAGAGGACTTGATAGTCGCAGTAGGGCCATTCTCATATTCTGTTGATTTTGTGATTTTGGACATAAATGAGGATGTGGATGTGCCATTAATATTGGGTAGACCTTTTCTCACTACCGCCAAGGCGCTCATTGATGTGAATGATGGGAAATTGATTTTGCGAGCTGGGGGTGAACAAATCACCTATCTGTTTCTGATAATATGCAACACCCTCAGCTCCATGATGATCTAGACTACTGTGATGTTGTTGCTGATTTTGAGACCACACTCGCCATCACAACTGCGGGTACTGACGATTTCCTTGAGCATTGTCTTTTGCTAGGGGAACAGGCATCACAGGACGTGCAGCTGGAGGAGCAGCTCGCGGAGCTAGACGAGGCCACGATCGAGGGGCGAGAGATACCATTCAAGCCGATCCCTATCTTGCCTCAGATCGCTACATCATTGGAGGAGCCACCAGAGCTGGAGCTTAAGCCCCTCCCCTCTCACCTGGAATATGCATTTCTCCGGGAGGGGAATAAGCTCCCGGTCATTATCAGCTCGGATCTGACACCCGAGCAGAAGAGCAGGCTGGTGGCGCTGCTGCAGAAGTATGACCGGGCCATGGCATGGAAGATCACAGACATCAGAGGCATTAGCCCATCCTTCTGCTCCCATAGAATTCTGATAGGGGACGAGGTTAAGCCAGTCCGACAGCCACAACGGAGATTGTCTCCTAACTTGGAGGCAGTGGTCCGGGCAGAGATTGTGAAGCGCATGGGTGCAGGGATCATCTTTGCTATATCTGATAGTAAGTGGGTTAGCCCCACTCAGGTGGTCCCGAAGAAAGGCGGGATGACTGTGGTCCCGAATGAGAAGAAGGAGTTGATCCCGATGCGGACCGTGACCGGCTGGAGAGTCTGCATCGATTACCGGCGCCTGAACGATGCCACCAGGAAAGACCATTTTCCCCTACCTTTCATTGATCAGATGCTGGAGAGGCTGGCTGGTCATGAGTTTTATTGCTTCCTGGATGGCATGTCTGGGTACTTCTAGATTCCTATTGCACCAGAGGATCAGGCGAAGACCACATTCACTTGCCCCTTCGGCACTTTTGCTTACCGGAGGATTTCATTCCGGCTGTGTAATGCGTCGGCGACCTTCCAGAGATGCATGATGGCGATCTTTGACTGACTGGTCGGAGAGATCATGGAAGTCTTCATGGATCACTTCTCGGTTTATGGAGACTCCTTCACTCATTGTCTCCATAACCTAGAACTCATTCTGAAGAGGTGTGAGGAGACTAATCTGGCACTCAGCTGGGAGAAGTGCCATTTTATGGTCCATGAGGGGATTGTGCTCGGGCACAAGATCTCCAAGCAGGGGATTGAGGTTGATCGCGCGAAGATTGAGACGATCAGTAAGCTACCTCCTCCCGTTTCTGTGAAGGGGATTCGCAGATTTCTGGGTCATGCAGGTTTCTACCAGCACTTCATTAAAGATTTCTCAAAGATTGCCCTGCCTCTGACCAAGCTGCTAGAGAAGGATGCACCATTCCAGTTCACTCCTGAGTGCACAGCTGCATTCGAGACTCTGAAGGAGAAGCTTACCCATGCACCTATCATGGTGACTCCTGACTGGTCTCTCCCTTTTGAGCTGATGTGCGATGTGAGTGACTATGCAGTTGGAGCAGTTCTGGGCAGAGACGCGAGAAGCACTTCCAACCCATCTACTACGCGTCCAAGACCTTGAACGATGCACAGGAGAACTACACCACCACCGAGAAGGAACTCCTCGCTGTGGTGTATGCATTTGATAAGTTCCGACCCTATCTGGTTCTCTCCCATGTGGTGGTCTACACTGACCACTCGGCGATTCGCTACCTGATGAGCAAGGCTTATGCAAAGCCTAGGCTCATCCGCTGGATCCTGCTCCTACAGGAATTTGATATCGAAATCCGGGACAAGAAGGGAGCCGAGAATGTTGTTGCATATCATCTTTCACGGTTGGAAGCCCCTCCGGTGGACAACTTCGTGGAAGAGATCGATGACTCCTTCCCGGTTGAGAAATTGTTGGCGATGACATTGGTGGACAGCGTGGTACCTTGGTATTCTGACTTTGCCAATTATCTGGTGGGCAAGTAGCTACCTAAGGGGATGGCCATTCATGCAAAGCGCAAGTTCTTCTCCGACCTGAAGCATTACTTCTGGGAGGATCCTTACCTCTTCAGGATCAGAGCAGATGGCGTGATCCGGCGCTATGTCATGGAGCACGAGATGGGAGCCATTCTGTCTCAATGCCACGAGGGACCTACTGGAGGTCACCATGGAGGAAACCGCATGGCGTGGAAGGTGCTACAGTCGGGCTTCTATTGGCCCTCGCTCTTCAAGGATGCGAACACCTTCGCACGACAGTGCAACCGCTGCCAAAG